ATATATATATATATATATATATATATATATATAATTATTAAAATAATAATATAATAACTAAACTAATAGTAAAAACTAATAATAAGAATTAAAAAAAAAAAATTTATGTAATTTACTCAAACCTGAATGACTTGCTTTCTTTTGTGGAACATAAAATAAGGTATTTTGAAGACTGTTGGTAACAAAGCGGTTTTGGTTACCAATGACTTTCCCACTGTACAAAAGAGATGTTTCTTAAATGATCTTCTTTTATGTTCCATAGTTTATGTTAGGCTGTTGTAGCCTAAATGTTTATGTTGTGTTATATAATTTTATGTTGAATCAAATAAAATATTTCTAAAGCTACAATTTGTAATGTCTACTTGATACTTTCTCATTTAACACAAAAATAGCTTTAAATAATCTTTTGTGGGTATTTTCACAGTCAAATTTATTTTGCGATTAATTAGATTAACTAATCGAAACATCATGTGATTAATTAGATTCAACATTTTAATCAACTGACAGCCCTACTTTTTAGACAAAGTCAAGAAAGAAAGAGCATGTGAAGTCATTTTTCACTTATATTTCTTGTATTATGATCAGCAGATCTGCTATCTTGATGTAGAGTTTTCTCTCCAGAAAGATGCTTCAGCAGCTGTTGGTTTGTGTTTCAGGTGTTTCTGCTGCCGAACGAGATGAAATGAAGGGAACGTCAGTGAAGAAGGGAGAATCTGGTAAAGTAATAACATGGTATTTTAATGACGTGATGGGAGATTATGTGGATGTTATCTATATAAAAAAGTTAGAATAGACATTTTTCTCAGCTCACAGTGCTGTTTTAGCCTTAGTTTCTATAAAAATACCTACCAGGTGACGCCATTTAGTTAAATCAGTATCATACAACTGATGACCAAAGTAGGAAGTTGTAGAGAAATATTGTTAAATACTGGTTGGATTATCATTCAATCTCTAGTAATAATGAGTGTCTGTCTTCGTCTGTTCCAGATTCAGGTCTGTCTTCAGCTGCTGTAGCAGGAATATGTGCTGCTGTTCTGCTGATAGTGGCTGCAGCTGCTGCTGGTGTGATTTATTATCTCCAGCATCGTCAAACAGGGCACTATAGTGAGTATTACATACAGATGTTTTATCAAGATGCAAAATTGTGATTTATTGTGTGAAAATAATCTTAACAGATGTGCAAATTTGTGTTTTTAGTGTAGTTAACCAAAGTAATGTGTGTTTAATTGAGTTACAGGAACAGGAACCAGGACTCAGCACAGTAATCAGGTGAGATACTGTGTGCGCTCAATCTATCTGTCTGCAAAAAACAGTGAATTTTACAACAGATTCTCAGTGCTCTGGTACGTTTCCAATGTAACATCAGGAGAATACATTACATAAATACATTTTCATATTAGTGACGTGTTATGCAGTGTTATTAGTATCATTTAGTATCTTTGTTTCCATCATTTTTTAAATTTTACGTTTTACATTTAGTTGTGTTTTTGTTGTTTTTATTATATAGCTTACAGTTTTATATATTTATATATATATATATATATATATATATACAGTGGGTA